CTTAACAATGTCATTTCATATCATTTCTAGTCTATGCCATATATATGTGTCTTCAATACCAAAGTCCAACCATGTATATTTGTAATTTTATCTCTTTGCACATGCTTGTAAATGAATGTTGTTCTATTAAGTTTAGATGAGTTGTTAATCGCACAATTCTCTAGTATTACGAGTCTCTTGGGAAAACGATACCTGGTCTTACCATGGTTTATTACTTAAAACGATTCGGTATACTTGTCAAAATCACCCAACACTTTCCTCCTGAACTTGAAGCGATTTCTTCTCATTTTCCTTACCCCATTTTTCTTCCTCAAAGAATTGCACATCTCTGCTAACAATAATTTTATTACAATGTGGCAAGAATATTCTATAGGCTTTTGATGTTGAGTTATAGCCTTCAAAGATTCCCACTTTTTCCTTTTTATCATATTTGTCTCTCTTGATCTATGGAATATAAAAAGAAACACAAGCAGCCAAAGACTTTTAAATTTATCAATTTTGGTTTAAAACCATACCAAGCTTAAAATGAGGTTAATTTTGAAAGAGCTTTTGTTGGCAATCTATTCAACCAAAAAACAAAAGTGTTTGTAGCCTCTGCCCAAACTCTTTTCAGAAGATCTTTGTCATGAAGTAAACATCTCGTCATTTCCAAGACTGTTATGGTTTTGCGCTCCACAACCTCATTTTGTTGTTGGGTATAAGGTGTTGTCAATTGATGTTTTATCCTTGCATCTTCACAAAACTTGTTGAACTTATCAGACGTATATTTTGTACCATTATCTGAACTTAATATCTACAACTTTCTTCCACTTTGATTTTCAACCCACACTTTAAACTTGTAAAATATGCTAGCAACCTCATTTTTGTTTTTCATGAAATAGATCCAACACATTCTTGATAAATCTTCAATAAAAGCAATATAGTACTTACTGCCATTTAGAGATGGGGTTTTCTGAGGTCCTTCGACATCCGTATATATTAACTGCAGCTTGTTTGTTACTCTTCAAGATTTGTCTTTTGGAAAAGACAACCTCGTTTGTTTTCCATATTGACAAGCAGCGGATACATGTGATTTCTCTTCCAAGTCAGGCAACCCTTACAAGATCATTCTTCCACAAATAGAGCAAAGCGCTATGATGAAAATGACTCATCCTTGTGCACAAACCAACATTTTGTCTTCAACCTTGTGCACAACAAATTGCTCTTCATCAATCAAATTCAAGGCAAAGTTTTTGCCTTTCATTTGAACTTTGAATAATTCTTTATTATCTGAATCTTTAATCATGCAGATTTTATCTTCAAATAAAACTTTATAGCCTTTCTCTAGAATTGGTCAACACTCAACAAGTTTTGGTCAATTTCAAGAACGTATAGAATATCAGGAATTAATTTCAAGCTTGTGCAACCTTTAACCGCGATGGTTACTTTGTCCTTCACTGCTATTTTTGCTCTGTTTGCAATTCTGACTTTTGTGTTGTAGGTTGCATCAAGATCTTTGAATAATTCTTGATCGTAAGTCATGTGGTTCGTGCAATCACTATCAATTAACCAAATTTTTTTGATCTTGCAATAGCAAAACAAGAAATAACAAAAAGCTCTTCTTCTTCACCCTCTTCAACAATAACTTGTACATTCTCTTGTTTTTCTTTTTATGACTTGTAGATTTTCTCAACATGGCCTAATTATCCATATTTATGGCATTTCACATCTGGCCTCCACCAACATTTCGTTTTTGGATGATTGTTTTTCTTACAAAAAGGACATGATGGAAAAACATGAGAGGATTTGCTATCATTTTTGTGGTTGAAACTTCCTGACTTGCCCTTTTTTTTCCGATGATTTAACTACTAAAGCCCCTTCAATATTACCTTCTTGTCTCATGAGTCTTCTTTGTTCCGGAGCCTGAAGTGCGGTCAAAAGTTCTGCCAAGGTAATAGTAGAAAGATTTTTTGAGTTCTCTAAGGAAGTCAATATGACTTCATATCTTTCTGAAATTGTTTCAAGTATTTTTTGAACAATTCGAGAATCAAGAATGTCAATGCTAAAAAGACATATTTTGATTGTCTCCGAATCTTTCATCCTCAACATATCAAGTTCTCGAACCCAATTCAAAGTTTGCATTCCTTTGATTCTCTCACTACCTTCATACTCTTCCTTCAAAAACTTCTAGATTTCATGTGTCGTTTTCATTGTCGTTATTCTATTGAAAATGACCAAAGATATTGCTATGAACAACATTGATCTGGCTTTGGACTTTCGAAGCCTTCTTTCTTTGTGACTTTTCATTTGAGCACCTGTATGATTTTTTTGGCAAAGAGACACTTTGTAGTCCTCTTCTACTACTTTACATACATCGTTAACATCAAGATGTGCTTCCATTTTGACAGGCCATATTTGATAGTTTAGCCTATCAAATACTGACACAAAAATGGTAGTAAAAGATGTTTCAGATTCCATCTTATGTGTGGTGGCTATTTGGTGGTTGTAAGTGTTTAAGTTATATCTTGAGATACCTTATTGCTCTCGATACTAATTGTAGGATTTAAAGTATAAGATACAAAAGAATAAAAGAGAAAATGATATATTTTATTGAGCATAATAATAAATATTTATGCTACAAATTAAAACATAATCTAAAACAAATTTGAGAAATATTTGCTAAACTAATTAACTAAACCATGCATAAAATCCTCCTAAATAGCATAGAAATATATCTTTATTTAATTGATTAGATTCTTCAACCACACGTTCTTTGGAGTCAGAGAATCTCATCAATGTATTACGGTACAATAACATACTTAAAGAACAATTACCTACAAGATCCGTTTGTATTGGTTTTGACTTTTCTTTGAAATGTGCTCCCATTATGCTAAGGCCGAAACTTGAGAGTTTTGGGTGCATGTTGTCATCCAAAAGAATGCTGGCAGAATTGATGCTGCGGTGAATGATGGTGCGCTTGAGTCCGGCATGAAGGTAGTGTAGTCCACGCGCTGCTCCTATGCAAATCTCTATCCTTTTTTTCCATGGCAGTGTTTCCCTAACCTCATCTAGGAGGTAGTAAAGTAGAGATCTATTGTATTCGTGCACAGTGATCTTCTCTTTTTTGTGGTTGCAAAATCCTACAATAGACACACAATTTGGATGATGAAGCTGACACAGTAACTCTACTTCTCTTTTGAACATTTCAATGTCTTCCACATTAAATCGCCTCACTGTGACTGCGTAATCAGAACCATCAATATGCTGGAGACAACCTTTGTATACTTTAACCCATCCTCGTGCAATTAGTCTCTTATGATCAAAATTGTTGGTTGACTTCTGAATATCAGCAAGAGAAAAATGACGACACAACTCTTCTATTACTGTTGGATATTGTCTTCCGGATGAACTTGACTCACCAAAACATTTCAGAAACATTATTACCTTTCTTGCCACAGATATTGAACTGAGTGTCTATTTAGTACATACACCCATGGTTATATTTTAAAGCTTTTTGCTAGACACTGTATTCTTACTAATTTCGATCAATGCTTTAATTTGTTGATCAACGTCAAATAAAGAATATGAACTTCTTTTCATCTTCAACCATTGAAGGTGTGTTTTCTTTTCCTGTCTGAAAAGATAAAGTGAAGCACACAATAATAGAAATAGAAAAAAGATAACTTGAGTGTCTCCACCATCAACCTTCTTGAATGTTTAAAGAAAGGTTTGAACTCGTTTCATCCGAATGTCTGTTAAACCCACCAATGAGGGTTTGTATTTGGAGGATATATAATTAGTTAATTTTTATTCATTTATATGATAAACAATGTTAAGAGTTTCATGTCAGTCCTAATTGGGAACGAAGTATTGTAACAATATTATGTACAAGATAGAAATTTACTCTGCTCTCTTGGATTGTCTACTGTAAAACTCCTCCAGTAAATTTCTAAAAGTTTGTTAATTGCTTCAAATTGTTCATCTTTTAAGGGTGATAAATTATACTTGTACCAGTTGGCACCGGGTATCAAACAGACTGGGCGTCCCCTTAGCCATAATGGTCCAACTACGCTACCCCTCTGCTCGCCATCGGGAGGGGTCGGGCGTGATAAGCCGAACGTCCGTATGTCCATGATTACGCAACCTTGCCGCTTGCCATCCGAATAAACAACAACTCATATGAGGCCGACCGGTCATACTGCCAACTAACCATATTGCCTATATGGGTCGGCCGATCGTAAGGTCAAACTTTGGGAGACTGGCCGGCCACATCGCTAATTAACCAGGTTTAAGGTAAGTAGTGGTTAAAAGCTATTGGGCTGAATTTGGGCCGTGATTAACTTTTCACTAATCCCAAGCCCATAGCAAAAACTATAAATACAGATCCAGGGTGAGTGGCAGATAGGTTACATTTACTGCACATTTATTACTGTTCTATCGAAAAACGCCATTGCTCTCAAACTGACTTTGGCATCGGAGAATCTTTCGTAGGTCTCCCACCCGCACGCAGAGAAGGAAATCGAGAAGTAAGGAGCGAGAACCGGACGTTCGAGAGACGAGAAGAGGAGGACGTGGAGGCATTGGACGACTCAGCCCCTACAACCGAAACATTTGGCGCCCACCGTGGGGCCGNCAAGGGATTGGAGTTTAATAGGGAAAACCTAGGCTCTTTCACTTAAGGGATTAGGGTTAAAGTGTTTTTGTGGATTGACTTTAGTAAATTGATGGACAGGAGATGAAATTGGGTAAGCACAAGAGTGAAATGGGTGAAAACTAACCTTAACAATGTCATTTCATATCATTTCTAGTCTATGCCATATATATGTGTCTTCAATACCAAAGTCCAACCATGTATATTTGTAATTTTATCTCTTTGCACATGCTTGTAAATGAATGTTGTTCTATTAAGTTTAGATGAGTTGTTAATCGCACAATTCTCTAGTATTACGAGTCTCTTGGGAAAACGATACCTGGTCTTACCATGGTTTATTACTTAAAACGATTCGGTATACTTGTCAAAATCACCCAACACTTTCCTCCTGAACTTGAAGCGATTTCTTCTCATTTTCCTTACCCCATTTTTCTTCCTCAAAGAATTGCACATCTCTGCTAACAATAATTTTATTACAATGTGGCAAGAATATTCTATAGGCTTTTGATGTTGAGTTATAGCCTTCAAAGATTCCCACTTTTTCCTTTTTATCATATTTGTCTCTCTTGATCTATGGAATATAAAAAGAAACACAAGCAGCCAAAGACTTTTAAATTTATCAATTTTGGTTTAAAACCATACCAAGCTTAAAATGAGGTTAATTTTGAAAGAGCTTTTGTTGGCAATCTATTCAACCAAAAAACAAAAGTGTTTGTAGCCTCTGCCCAAACTCTTTTCAGAAGATCTTTGTCATGAAGTAAACATCTCGTCATTTCCAAGACTGTTATGGTTTTGCGCTCCACAACCTCATTTTGTTGTTGGGTATAAGGTGTTGTCAATTGATGTTTTATCCTTGCATCTTCACAAAACTTGTTGAACTTATCAGACGTATATTTTGTACCATTATCTGAACTTAATATCTACAACTTTCTTCCACTTTGATTTTCAACCCACACTTTAAACTTGTAAAATATGCTAGCAACCTCATTTTTGTTTTTCATGAAATAGATCCAACACATTCTTGATAAATCTTCAATAAAAGCAATATAGTACTTACTGCCATTTAGAGATGGGGTTTTCTGAGGTCCTTCGACATCCGTATATATTAACTGCAACTTGTTTGTTACTCTTCAAGATTTGTATTTTGGAAAAGACAACCTCGTTTGTTTTCCATATTGACAAGCAGCGGATACATGTGATTTCTCTTCCAAGTCAGGCAACCCTTACAAGATCATTCTTCCACAAATAGAGCAAAGCGCTATGATGAAAATGACTCATCCTTGTGCACAAACCAACATTTTGTCTTCAACCTTGTGCACAACAAATTGCTCTTCATCAATCAAATTCAAGGCAAAGTTTTTGCCTTTCATTTGAACTTTGAATAATTCTTTATTATCTGAATCTTTAATCATGCAGATTTTATCTTCAAATAAAACTTTATAGCCTTTCTCTAGAATTGGTCAACACTCAACAAGTTTTGGTCAATTTCAAGAACGTATAGAATATCAGGAATTAATTTCAAGCTTGTGCAACCTTTAACCGCGATGGTTACTTTGTCCTTCACTGCTATTTTTGCTCTGTTTGCAATTCTGACTTTTGTGTTGTAGGTTGCATCAAGATCTTTGAATAATTCTTGATCGTAAGTCATGTGGTTCGTGCAATCACTATCAATTAACCAAATTTTTTTGATCTTGCAATAGCAAAACAAGAAATAACAAAAAGCTCTTCTTCTTCACCCTCTTCAACAATAACTTGTACATTCTCTTGTTTTTCTTTTTATGACTTGTAGATTTTCTCAACATGGCCTAATTATCCATATTTATGGCATTTCACATCTGGCCTCCACCAACATTTCGTTTTTGGATGATTGTTTTTCTTACAAAAAGGACATGATGGAAAAACATGAGAGGATTTGCTATCATTTTTGTGGTTGAAACTTCCTGACTTGCCCTTTTTTTTCCGATGATTTAACTACTAAAGCCCCTTCAATATTACCTTCTTGTCTCATGAGTCTTCTTTGTTCCGGAGCCTGAAGTGCGGTCAAAAGTTCTGCCAAGGTAATAGTAGAAAGATTTTTTGAGTTCTCTAAGGAAGTCAATATGACTTCATATCTTTCTGAAATTGTTTCAAGTATTTTTTGAACAATTCGAGAATCAAGAATGTCAATGCTAAAAAGACATATTTTGATTGTCTCCGAATCTTTCATCCTCAACATATCAAGTTCTCGAACCCAATTCAAAGTTTGCATTCCTTTGATTCTCTCACTACCTTCATACTCTTCCTTCAAAAACTTCTAGATTTCATGTGTCGTTTTCATTGTCGTTATTCTATTGAAAATGACCAAAGATATTGCTATGAACAACATTGATCTGGCTTTGGACTTTCGAAGCCTTCTTTCTTTGTGACTTTTCATTTGAGCACCTGTATGATTTTTTTGGCAAAGAGACACTTTGTAGTCCTCTTCTACTACTTTACATACATCGTTAACATCAAGATGTGCTTCCATTTTGACAGGCCATATTTGATAGTTTAGCCTATCAAATACTGACACAAAAATGGTAGTAAAAGATGTTTCAGATTCCATCTTATGTGTGGTGGCTATTTGGTGGTTGTAAGTGTTTAAGTTATATCTTGAGATACCTTATTGCTCTCGATACTAATTGTAGGATTTAAAGTATAAGATACAAAAGAATAAAAGAGAAAATGATATATTTTATTGAGCATAATAATAAATATTTATGCTACAAATTAAAACATAATCTAAAACAAATTTGAGAAATATTTGCTAAACTAATTAACTAAACCATGCATAAAATCCTCCTAAATAGCATAGAAATATATCTTTATTTAATTGATTAGATTCTTCAACCACACGTTCTTTGGAGTCAGAGAATCTCATCAATGTATTACGGTACAATAACATACTTAAAGAACAATTACCTACAAGATCCGTTTGTATTGGTTTTGACTTTTCTTTGAAATGTGCTCCCATTATGCTAAGGCCGAAACTTGAGAGTTTTGGGTGCATGTTGTCATCCAAAAGAATGCTGGCAGAATTGATGCTGCGGTGAATGATGGTGCGCTTGAGTCCGGCATGAAGGTAGTGTAGTCCACGCGCTGCTCCTATGCAAATCTCTATCCTTTTTTTCCATGGCAGTGTTTCCCTAACCTCATCTAGGAGGTAGTAAAGTAGAGATCTATTGTATTCGTGCACAGTGATCTTCTCTTTTTTGTGGTTGCAAAATCCTACAATAGACACACAATTTGGATGATGAAGCTGACACAGTAACTCTACTTCTCTTTTGAACATTTCAATGTCTTCCACATTAAATCGCCTCACTGTGACTGCGTAATCAGAACCATCAATATGCTGGAGACAACCTTTGTATACTTTAACCCATCCTCGTGCAATTAGTCTCTTATGATCAAAATTGTTGGTTGACTTCTGAATATCAGCAAGAGAAAAATGACGACACAACTCTTCTATTACTGTTGGATATTGTCTTCCGGATGAACTTGACTCACCAAAACATTTCAGAAACATTATTACCTTTCTTGCCACAGATATTGAACTGAGTGTCTATTTAGTACATACACCCATGGTTATATTTTAAAGCTTTTTGCTAGACACTGTATTCTTACTAATTTCGATCAATGCTTTAATTTGTTGATCAACGTCAAATAAAGAATATGAACTTCTTTTCATCTTCAACCATTGAAGGTGTGTTTTCTTTTCCTGTCTGAAAAGATAAAGTGAAGCACACAATAATAGAAATAGAAAAAAGATAACTTGAGTGTCTCCACCATCAACCTTCTTGAATGTTTAAAGAAAGGTTTGAACTCGTTTCATCCGAATGTCTGTTAAACCCACCAATGAGGGTTTGTATTTGGAGGATATATAATTAGTTAATTTTTATTCATTTATATGATAAACAATGTTAAGAGTTTCATGTCAGTCCTAATTGGGAACGAAGTATTGTAACAATATTATGTACAAGATAGAAATTTACTCTGCTCTCTTGGATTGTCTACTGTAAAACTCCTCCAGTAAATTTCTAAAAGTTTGTTAATTGCTTCAAATTGTTCATCTTTTAAGGGTGATAAATTATACTTGTACCAGTTGGCACCGGGTATCAAACAGACTGGGCGTCCCCTTAGCCATAATGGTCCAACTACGCTACCCCTCTGCTCGCCATCGGGAGGGGTCGGGCGTGATAAGCCGAACGTCCGTATGTCCATGATTACGCAACCTTGCCGCTTGCCATCCGAATAAACAACAACTCATATGAGGCCGACCGGTCATACTGCCAACTAACCATATTGCCTATATGGGTCGGCCGATCGTAAGGTCAAACTTTGGGAGACTGGCCGGCCACATCGCTAATTAACCAGGTTTAAGGTAAGTAGTGGTTAAAAGCTATTGGGCTGAATTTGGGCCGTGATTAACTTTTCACTAATCCCAAGCCCATAGCAAAAACTATAAATACAGATCCAGGGTGAGTGGCAGATAGGTTACATTTACTGCACATTTATTACTGTTCTATCGAAAAACGCCATTGCTCTCAAACTGACTTTGGCATCGGAGAATCTTTCGTAGGTCTCCCACCCGCACGCAGAGAAGGAAATCGAGAAGTAAGGAGCGAGAACCGGACGTTCGAGAGACGAGAAGAGGAGGACGTGGAGGCATTGGACGACTCAGCCCCTACAACCGAAACATTTGGCGCCCACCGTGGGGCCGAGTTGCTTTTTAAACCCAATGGTGACCACGAGAAACATGAGCATGGACGACCCAATTGAGATGATCAGAATGTTACAGCAGAAGATGGACGAGATGCAACAACGTCATGAGGATGAGCTCGCGGCCGTCAAGGCCGAGTGTGAGGCCCGGATAGCCCGAGAGATCGCTGGAAAGGGAGGTGAGGACGAACGGGCGAAGGAGAAGGGAAAGGCCGCCGCGGAGGATCACACTGAGCACAATAGCGGACGCGATAAAACCTAGAAGCCGACAGAGTCCGAGGCCGAAGGGAGTAAAGCCAAATCAATACACGCGGAGAACGCCGCGGAGGATAGACGGATGATGGTGTAGCCTGAGCCTTCGTCCACACTATTACTCCCCTTTGCCCAACCAATCATGGATGTTCAGATATTGTCGGACCATTCCCCGTAGGCCGGGCCCAGAAGAAGTTCCTCCTAGTCGCAGTGGACTATTTCACGAAGTGGGTGGAGGCCGAGCCTTTGGCAACCATAACAACCTCCCAAGTTCAAAAATTCTGTTGGAAGCTGGTGTGTCGTTTTGGTCTCCCTCAGACGATCACAAATAATGGCCGACAATTCATCGATAAAAAACTGGCCGAATTTTTCGAGAGCTTGGGGATCAAGCACATTACCAGTTCGGTGGAGCACCCCTAGACGAACGGTCAGGTAGAGGCCATGAATAAAACCGTGGTTGCCGAGCTGAAGCGACGATTGGGGGAGAGAAAGGGAGCCTGGGTCGACGAGCTACCAGAAGTCCTGTGGGGTTACCGATGCACGCCCCATGGAATGACCGGGGAAACCCCTTTTAACCTAACATACGACACTGACGCCATGTTACCAGTCGAACTAGGAGAGCCCTCGTTACGACGTCAGGTCTATAGTTGACTGACCAAGACCTGCGAATCGAGCTAGATTCTCTGGGCGAACGTATGGACCGAGCGGCGTTAAAAGCCAAAGCGTGCAAATGCATGGTTGAGCGAAAGTATAATTCCAAAGTTCGGCCGAGGAGCTTTCAGGAGGGCGACTTGGTGTGGAGAAAGGTTGGAGAGGGGCGCCGAGTGTCTACTCACGGCAAGTTGGCGACAAAATGGGAGGGACCTTTCCGGGTGGTCGAAGTACTGAGAAATGGAGCGTACAGACTGCAACACGCGGACGGACGACCAATTCCAAACACTTGGAACGCCACGCATTTAAAATTTTATTTCAGTTGAATTATTCTTAAAAGTTGTATTTTAATTTTCAACGATTAATTCAATGACAGGATGTCTGTCTCCTCTCACGACTAGTCTCAATAAACACGAGGAAAGTACAAGTTGATGAACGGAGAGTTTCCCCGGGAACCACTGTCAACTTGGTCGGACGGTGAATGGAGAGTTCTTTCCGAAGAACCACTACCGTCCAGCCTTCATAAAAGTCCAAGTTGATGAACGGAGAGTTCCCCCGGAAACCACTGTCAACTTGGTCGGACGGTGAACGGAGAGTTCTTTCCGAAGAACCATTGTCGTCCGAACCTTCAAAAAGTCCAAGTTGATGAACGGAGAGTTCCCCTGGGAACCACTGTCAACTTGGCCGGACGGTGAACGGAGAGTTCTTTCCGAAGAACCACTGCCGTCCGAGGCTTCAAAAAAGTCCAAGTTGATGAACGGAGAATTCTCCCGGGAACCACTGTCAACTTGAACGAACGATAAATGGAGCAAGAGGCGAAAATAAATCTAACAACGCGAAAATAAAAACAACCGGATGAACGAAAAGGTAATGTATTCATTAGCAAAGGCACCAAAAAATGCCAGCATTAACAAAAGGACGACCCGACCAACATTTTGACAATCCATAATGTTGGACGGACGGCCTCAAGAATACATCAAAAAATCTGAATTAAAAATCGTAAAAGCAAAAGGCAAAAGGCGATCAATTATCGTCGTCATTCGCCTCTTCATCGTCATGTTCGACCTCCACCGTCTCGTCAGCTCCCGCGGCACCAGAGGGCCCTTCAGTCTCCGGCCCCTCGTCATCAGCCATGGAGTTGAGATCGACTAAGACGCCATCAAAGACGTTTTTCTTAATGTCAAAACCCAAGGCAAAGGGCTCGTGTATACTGGTAAGGACGGACGCCTGATGAAGGGCTCTGTTAAAACCCTCCTCGTGCTAAAAAACGATACCCGCCTCTAATTCAGATATCTTCTCCCTTGCCTTCGCGAGATCATCGATCAGAGCTTGGTTTGACTTGAGGAGTCCGACCTTAGAGCTTCTTTGACGAGCGACCTTCGTCTTCAGTTGGCTGCACTCCTCCAGGAGTCGTTCATGATCGTCCCGGGCGACGGTCAGGCGGTTGCTTGCATCAGCTGACTCCCTCTTGGCCTTCTCTAGGTCGGCCTCCAGCAGCTCGATCCTCTTATCTTAATCATCGCTGGTCAGGATCAACTGCTCCATGGCCGACTGGAGGGGGGCCGAANTTTATGCTACAAATTAAAACATAATCTAAAACAAATTTGAGAAATATTTGCTAAACTAATTAACTAAACCATGAATAAAATCCTCCTAAATAGCATAGAAATATATCTTTATTTAATTGATTAGAATCTTCAACCACACGTTCTTTGGAGTCAAAGAATCTCATCAATGTATTACGATACAATAACATACTTAAAGAACAATTACCTACAAGATCCGTTTGTATTGGTTTTGACTTTTCTTTGAAATGTGCTCCCATTATGCTAAGGCCGAAACTTGAGAGTTTTGGGTGCATGTTGTCATCCAAAAGAATGCTGGCAGAATTGATGCTGCGGTGAATGATGGTGCGCTTGAGTCCGGCATGAAGGTAGTGTAGTCCACGCGCTGCTCCTATGCAAATCTCTATCCTTTTTTTCCATGGCAGTGTTTCCCTAACCTCATCTAGGAGGTAGTAAAGTAGAGATCTATTGTATTCGTGCACAGTGATCTTCTCTTTTATGTGGTTGCAAAATCCTACAATAGACACACAATTTGGATGATGAAGCTGACACAGTAACTCTACTTCTCTTTTGAACATTTCAATGTCTTCAACATTAAATCGCCTCACTGTGACTGCGTAATCAGAACCATCAATATGCTGGAGACAACCTTTGTATACTTTAACCCATCCTCGTGCAATTAGTCTCTTATGATCAAAATTGTTGGTTGACTTCTGAATATCAGCAAGAGAAAAATGACGACACAACTCTTCTATTACTGTTGGATATTGTCTTCCGGATGAACTTGACTCACCAAAACATTTCAG